TCCAGGCCGTTGCCGGTTCCTCCTTTCATGGTGATGAGCCGGGGCTTCCCGTCCTGCCCCGAGTTGAAGGTGTAGCACTTCCCATAGCGGGTGAAGACCTGCAGGAGAGGACATGGGGCTGAGGCTGGGGCCCCACTGCCAGCACCAAACTGCTGCCGGCACCACGGCAGGGAGCTGGGAGAGGATCACCAGCCCCAAAACACAACTGTCCCCAACCTGGGGGTACAATCTGATGCAGGCTCCTGCCTACGGGGTGTCTCTCACTATTGGAACTGGTAGAGGAGACGTTCCCCACCGAGGCACAGGGATGACATGGACTTGGAGGAGACACTTTGCAGACTCGACCCCACAGACCCCACGGCAGCCCCAGCTCCCTGGGATGGAGACATTCAGCCCCACGCCCACACCAGCACCTCCTCCCAGCCCTCCTCCATCCCTGCAGAGGACAGGGCTCGATGGGATCCTGAACCCCACGTCCCTCCACAGCCGCTCCAGCTAACGCCTCCGGCAGCCGGCACGTCTCCACACCGCTGAGCTGCTGCCAGCCTGGGCAAGGGGCACACGGGGCCAGTGGGCTGCAGACCACGGTGACGACACCAGGACGGAGGTGCCAGGCACCTCCTGTGCAAGCACAGCCCTGGGGCTGCTCTCCGTGTCCCACCAGCTGGTCTCCACACCCGGTGCCGTCCCCAACTCCAGCGAGATGCCCAGATGCTGATGGACGGAGCTGAAATATCAGCCTGTCCCTGAGCAAGCTGGCAAGGACAGTGTCACCCACCGTGCCTGAGCTGACACGATGCTGGCCGGAGCTGCTCCCCGTACCTGGCCACCTTGGGGCTACTCACCGCCACGAAGTCGCCGGGGCCACACTGCTCACCCCGGTAGCTGCAGCTCAGCAGCATGTCCTCCAGCTGGTGGCAAGTGCGGTTAAAAAACCTGTACAAATTTAGGGGCTCGTCCTCATCCTCAGGGCCAGGCTGGGCCGGGGAGAAGCCCAACTCCATCCCGGGCTCGTAGTCAACCAGGGGGGCCAGGTAGAGCAAGTCCTCATGGCTGAGCTGAGAGACCCGCACACGGTTGATGTTGCAGAAGGTGATGGCAGGGAAGGTCATCTCGGGGCTGTCCTCCTCGCTGAGCAGCGTGACGTGGTGGTACTCCAGGTAGTAGACGATGCGGTCGGCTACCTGGTAGAGGAAGACGGAGAGGGAGAGGAGGAAGGCCAGTGCCCAGAGCGCCTGCCGAGCACCCAGGCTGCCCTCCACAAAGATGTGGCTCAGTCCATGCAGTGTGCAGCTGCTGGCAAAGGCCACGAAGTCCCTGGCTGCCCCCACGTCCTCCTCCTCCTCTTCATCCTCCTCCTCTTCGTCCTCGTCCTCCTCGTCCTCCTTGTCCTCCTCCTCATCCTCCTCCTCCTCCTTGTCCTCTGCAGCTGCAGCGTCTCTTGGTGCTTCCTCGCTGGAGAAGGAGATGGTGCAGAATATCTGGAGAGGCATTGTCCAGCGTGGGGGTCCCAGCTGCAGCGTGGAGGTCCTGGCACTGGTGTGGGGGTCCTGCCCCTGTCCTACCACAGCCTGAGGGTCTTCAATGGTGGGTCGGTTCCTTGGGGTGTGGGTAAGAGGGGCTGGGGGAGAGCAGGGAAGGAGGAAGAGGCAAGTTCAGAGAAGAGAAACGGAGAAGGGAAAAGGAGTGAGAGGCGAAAGGAGCGGAGGGATGCTCAGAGGGGACGGAGAGAGGAGGGTATATCAGGAGCAGGGAGGAGGAGAGGAGGAGCGAGGGGCGGTTCTGCGGGCTCCCCAGGTCCCCCGGGACCGGCCGGCTGCGGCTGGCAGGACAGAGCAGAGACGTTGCCAGCTCCAGAAGCACCGATGTGTTGGGAGCTCCTGGTGCTGCCTGAGGTGCCCGAGGGGCTGGTGGGTCCGGTGAACACGGGTGTGTGTTGCAGGTTCCCGGAGTGCTGTCCATCCACACCACGTCCTCCATCCTCACCGCGGGGCACCACGGCCCTGGCAGCCCGACCG